GTGTGTGTGTGTCTGTGTCTCTGTATGTGTGTGTCTGTGTCTGTGTCTGTGTCTGTGTGTATGTATGTGTGAATATTTTGTTATCCAATTTAATATTTTATCTTAGTCAACTAGTATAGTTCGTGTTATTCCTCTGAATGTAGGGACCATGGCGAGTTATTACAAATTAAATTAAAAAAACAAAATCTTGAATAAATAGATAATTTCTTTTAATGTTGAACTATTTAAAAACAATATTTGTTAATAAAAAATTTAATGCACAATGAATGTAAAACCGAGAAAAAATGTACAAAATCATAAATCATGATTTCATGTAAATTAAAAATATAAATTAAAGCAATCTTAGTTTTTTAAAATATAAATATCCAGTAATAATAAATTAAACAATGTAAAAAAATAAAAATAAAAATTATATAAAAATATAATGTGAAAATTAATCGTTTAAGTTTAATATATCTTCATAATCCAATTTAATTTGAATATTTGAAAATATAAACCCTGACAATTTAACTGAATGATAATTTCCAATTAATAAGATATTTATTTTTTGATTAAATATGTTTTTAGTCTTTTAAAAATTGATTCTATTTGATTTAAGTAAAAAAAAAAATCTTGATTTTAGTCCTATAAATTTATTTAAAACCTATTTTTAACATTTTTCTAAACATTATTAACTTTTGCTATTAAAATAGGTCACTTTAATAATCAAATAATCACTATTCGTTTATTGACATAAAGAAATTTAATTTAAAATATTAATTATTTTAGGATGAAGTTAAGTTTTAAGGTAAAAACTAATTTTACATTTAGGGAGGTATATGAAAAGTTTTTTCATACCCAAAAATTATTATTCATGGGTAAATCTTGAAAATCATAATTCCTATGAATAGTTAAAATATGTTTAGTTACTCATAAAAGTTCCTAGGAATATTCATATATGATTCTTGAAAATTAAAGATTTTCATGTTTACTTTCAATAGTATATTTATATGTTTATAAATAGAAATAGAAGGAGAGGGAGAGGGGGAAGAAAAGGCTTTTTGACCCAATTAAATTAAAAAAAATACACAAAATAAATTAAAAAAATAACAATTTACTGGAATAGGTAGTTTTTGCCACGCAAGAAGCCACATGGATGAGAAAACGCATGGCGGGTGGATGTTTTTCAGAAAAAGCCTCCCTCCAGGCACCTTATGTGGCTGATGTGGCAGCTAGGCCACGTGGAAAAGAAAGAGCAGGGGGGAGGCGTTTTTCAGAAAAATCCTCCCCTAGAGGCGCCATCTTTTGCAAATGTTACACGTGAAGAAAGAGCATAGGGGGAGGCTTCTTCTGTTGTAGGGCCATGTTTGTGAAGAAAGAGCATGGGAGGAGGCTTCTTCTGTTGCAGCCAAGTTTGTAAAAAAAGAGCAGGGGGGAGGCGTTTTCAAGAAAAAACCTCCCCCAGGTACTATCTGTTGATGTCCTGATACGTTGTAATGCGCCTCTCCCCAAGACACTATGAAATTCAGACACTCCCACCTAATAGTTAAATGTAGAACGTATTATTGGGTTTCACAAAATTCACTTCTTCCGGTGTGGTCCAGGTGCTATGATATTTTATTTGGTGGTCCAGGGTAGTGCAAGTGAGTAATATATTTTATTTGTTGTAAATTTTAATTTTAATTTTTATAATATATTGTATGGTGATTCAAAGATAAAATAGAGTGGTGTAATAATTAAATTTTTTTTAAATAGAATGGTAATTACGTAAGTTTTAAACGTGGAACGGGCCATTCTGAAAACGTACGTATTCAGAACGGGTCGTTCCGGATGGTAAAGTAAGGAGGGTTATGGACAGTAAAAACGGGACGTTCTGAAAGTAGAACGACCCGTTCTTATTATACTGAAGATGTGTTATTTTTTGCTCTAAAAACGGCCTGTTCTAAAAGGAGAATGGGCTGTTCTGAATTTAAAATGGACATCTTATGAGCTCTCTGAGAACGGGCCGTTCTGATTTTAGAACAGCTCGTTCTAGATCCATAGACAAGACACCACTGTTGCAATGAGAACGACCCGTTCTAAAATTAGAACGGGTTGTTCCAGTGCCCCAATTAAATTATTTTTTTTAATTGAAAAAGTTATATAATTTGATTTTTATAATTGAATATATGTATTTATTGCAATGTTAAAAATGATGATATTATAATGAATATTTTAAATTTTCGAATTTGAAAAAATATCACTGGAATATTTATTTTGATTTATATTTTAGCAAGAATGTCTCGTAGAGGAATATATTATGTACCTGATAGTGACGAAGAAGAAAACATTGTTCCATCAGATAAAATATTGACAGATGAGCAATTGTTGTCAGAAGTGCTATGGTAGCTAAACAGGCTGAAGAAGCTAGAGAACAGGAGCCATTGTTCTCAGAGCGCCGGAAGTACAAGTGTTTTCTAAGAAAAACATATCTGAGCCTCTACTCTCAGACTCACATTTAAACACAAAATGGGGGAAGCTGTACCACGTGTCAAATGCTGAACAGATGGCGCCTCCCCTGCTCTTTTTTTACAAGCTTGGCTGCAACAGAAGAAGCCTCCCCCCATGCTCTTTCTTCACAAACGTGGCCTAACATTTGCAAAAGATGGCGCCTCTGGGGGAGGCTCTTTCTGAAAAACGCCTCCCCCCTCTCTTTCTTTTCCACGTGGCTCAGCTGCCACATCAGCCACATAAGGCGCCTGGGGGAAGGCTTTTTCTGAAAAACGCCCATCCACGTGGCTTCCTCCTGCGTGGCAAAAACTACCTATTCCGGTAAATTGTTATTTTTTAATTTTATTTTGTGTATTTTTTTTTTTTTTAATTTAACTGGGTCAAAAGGCCGGAAGAAGAAGGAGAGGGAGAGGGAAAGAAAAGAGAGGGGGAGTGAGAGTGAAAAAGAGAGGGAGAAAAAGAAATAGAAGAAAAGATATATATTTTTATTTTAAAAAGGGATATTATGATCTTTTTATGTACATAAAACTTTCTCCTTAACTCGAGAATGTTTTTGTGAAAATATTTTTGTGAGAAAGTGAAATAAAAATATTTTTAAGAATTTATTTTTTTTAATAGTTACTAAAGATAAGAAATTAAGATTCCTGATAATGTAAAAATATTTGACGTACCAAATGCTTTGTTAAATTTTTTTAATATTCACTATTAATGGCATGTATGGAGGTTTCGGTAATTCTTCTTTTACTTAGACAAAAAATCTCTTACCAAACTCTAATAAAATCTTTTCATGAACTCAAAGTCAATTTTTTTTTTCACCACTACTATCACCATGTCCATAAATGTCTAGTTTCATGTCTTTATTGACAATTCTCTAAACTCTAAGTTCCTAATTAATTTCTAATGACACCTTTTGCACCTTCAATGACTCTCGACTCAACATGTGAATTGCTCTAAAAAAAATATTCATTTTGCTCTCTTAAAATTTTAAAATATTGCCTTTTAGAAATTTATTTTCTCCATAAGGATGAGAGTAAAATAGAAAATTAAAAAGTAAAATAGAGCACTTTTAATATTTTTATGTTCGAGTCTAAGAATAAATAATAAAAAAGTTTAAATATAAAATTAATTTTTTTCCTAAAACGTAACTTAATCTTAAAATAATAAATATTTTAAATTAAAGAATTTTATATTTATAAAATTAATAGTGATTTAGATAGTAAGATAAATAATTTTAATAATAAAAGTTAATAATATTTAAAAAAGAATAAAAGAAATATTATATAAATTTAGAAGATTGAAATAAAAGAAAAATAGAATAAACTTTTGGAAAATTAAACTTACTTTTTATATTTGATTTGTTTTATACGACGTGAGGACGGTCAACAAAGTCGTAATGAGGACGTGTAGTATACGTTTTTATAATATGACATCGAAAAAGGGCAGCATGTGACTATCGCATATGACAGAACGGGGAAGCTACCAATGCTGCATTCAAAGCCGTTTTGACATTTTCCACGTTTAAACTCTATACTTCTTTCCTAAGAAAACTCATGAATTCAACTCATGTAACGTTTTTTTCTAAGGTTAAATTCCACTTACATTTTTATTTTATTTTTATCTATTGATTTGTTTATTTTAAAATAAAAAATTAGAATTACATATGGATAAAAATAAAAATATCCAAAATATAATTCAGTCATATATATATATATATATATATATTCGTAAAAATATGAGTGTAAATTTAATTAAATCATACAAAACTAATTTGTAAGATAAAATTATTAAACTTATACACATTATTATTATTATTATTTTACTAATTTTATCTCTAATATGTCTATATGGTGTGAAATTTGTAAAACTAAATATTATAGCATTTGATAATAGTTCATAGTGTGACCCAATAAATCTAATCACAATTGTTATATATAATAGGCTCTACTATCATCTTAAAAAAATAAGTCAATTTAATCTAATTTTACAAAATTGATTTATAAAATAAATATTATTTTCACTTATATGCATTATATTATAATCATCTTATTTATCTATATTAGACTTATGATAACAAAAAAATTATTATTTATAATAATATCTAAAAAAATATTTTCTCTCCGAACTATTTTTATCTTAACTTTATTCATATGATTTTGCTTTAAATATTTTTATTTATTTATTTTTACTTTTTTAAAAGAAAATTTTCTCTAACTTTTATATAATTTCTAATCAATCAATATTCACAAGAATTTCATTTTCTCTATTTTTATTTTTATTTAAATAAAATACATAGAAATATATATAATTAAGATTTATTGAAATTAAATATTCGTATATCTTTTCGACACTCGACTGGCCTTATTTTAAATATTTGAAAATAATTTTATTTTTCATAATTAAATCTATCTTATTCAAATGAGATTGCTTTGCATCAAAGAATACAGTACACGTGTAAAAGATCAAATTTTCTTCTACTTTTTCTTTGAAGAACCTAACAAGAAAGAGTACAAACATAGTATCTAAACTTCTATAAAATAAGAGAAAAGCAAGAACACCATACAACATCCAAGAGATGATGGGGGAGCTATGGTCACAGATGGGGTCATTAATGGCCACAATAGTGTTCATGTACACAATTTTTGAGCGTTTCTTCCCCGCTCATCTTCGTGACCGTGTTCAAGCCTATGTTCAAAAATTCACCAACCACTTCAACCCCTATATCCAAATAACCTTCCCTGAGTTCTCAGGTGAAAGACTCAAGAGAAGTGAAGCATACACAGCCATCCAAACCTACCTCAGTGCAAACTCATCTCAAAGAGCCAAAAGGCTTAAAGCTGAAGTGGTGAAAGATAGCCAAACCCCACTAGTCCTCAGCATGGACGACAATGAAGAGATCACAGATGAGTTTGAAGGTGTCAAAGTGTGGTGGAGTGCAAACAAACTAAGCAGCAATCCACAAAGGTACAACCCTTTTTCCTATTATGCTCCCTCAGATGAAAAAAGGTTCTACAAACTCACCTTCCACAAGAGATATAGAAGCCTCATCACCATGTCATACATAAAGCATGTGTTGGAAGAGGGGAAGGAGATTGAGATGAGAAATAGGCAATTGAAGCTTTACACCAACAATCCTAGTAGTGGTTGGTATGGTTACAAGCAGTCAAAGTGGAGCCACATAGTGTTTGAGCACCCTGCTACATTTAAAACACTAGCAATGGATCAGAATAAGAAGGAAGATATCTTGAAAGACCTTGTGAAATTTAAGAAGGGGAGGGACTATTATGCAAAGATAGGTAAGGCTTGGAAAAGGGGGTATCTTTTGTATGGTCCTCCAGGGACCGGAAAATCTACTATGATAGCTGCTATTGCCAATTTCATGAACTATGATGTGTATGATCTTGAATTGACTGCAGTTAAGGACAACACTGAGTTGAGAAAGTTGTTGATTGAGACTCCAAGTAAGGCAATTATTGTGATTGAGGATATTGATTGTTCACTTGATCTTACTGGTCAAAGGAAGAAGGGAAAGGAAGAGGGTGAGGATGAGGAGCCGAAAGATCCTATGAGGAGAAATGAAGAGGAGAGTAACAAGAGTAGTAAGGTGACTCTATCAGGGTTGTTGAATTTCATTGATGGGATTTGGTCAGCTTGTGGAGGTGAGAGGATCATAATTTTCACAAAAAATTATGTGGAGAAGCTTGATCCTGCTTTGATTAGGAGAGGGAGGATGGACAAGCACATTGAGATGTCATATTGTGGCTATGAGGCTTTCAAGGTGTTGGCTAAGAACTACTTGGATGTTAAGTCTCATAGTTTGTTTCCCACTATTGAGGAGTTGTTGGGGGAGACCAATATGGCCCCTGCTGATGTTGCTGAGAATCTGATGCCAAAGTCTGTGGATGATGATGTGGAGACGTGCTTGCTGAAGTTGATTAAGGCACTTGAGGGGGCCAAGGAGGAAAAAGCAAGGAAAAAGGCAGAAGAAGAAGAAGCAAGGTTGAAGGAGGAGAAAGAGAAAGCAAAGTCTACTCAGAGGGTGGATGAGAACAAAGAGAAAATTGGGGAGGATGTGAAGGAAAATGGTTTTCATTGAGGGGCAATGGAAATGGTTTTGGGAATAACAATATGTTCTGGAGCTAGTTAGTTTACACGTTATATTGAGAGATTTAGCCCAGTTGATTGATTAGTGTGCGTGAATAATTGTAATCCCTTAATACTGAGTTCGATTCATATGGTAAAAAAAGAATCTGGTTAGAGTAGTTACTGCAATATACTACTTGGCTAAAAGAAAATTGATCTACCTTGATATGTTGTTCAATTTCTGTTTTGGTTGTCTTCTGGTTTTTCCAATCTTTCTTAGCGTAAAAGTTTGAATTGCTATCCTCATTTCGTTTCATTTCAGTTTTCCATCATGGTATATAGCATAACAATTGGTTCATGGTTGAACTATGTTTCAAAGGATTGGAAGCTAACACTTGAAAAAAAATGCAGTTCAAAGATGTTACTTTATGGAAAAATAGTGCTTATTCTGAATCTAAAGCATCCTAATTGAGTTAACACGCAATGATCATACTCTTCACCTCAGGAACAAGACATTGGTCTTCAAAACTATATCCAGTTCATTGTTCCAACCCTCAAATATAATACTCTCTTGCTGGCCTAAATTAAAAATGATTTTTCTTGAATCTTTGACCCTGTTGTTGATGACTGAAATGTTCAACTATATTACTTCGTTAGCACAAATTTGGGGTCATTTTCGTGGTACTCAGAAGACATTTTCAGTACCATTGCAATTTGCTAGTTAAATGAGTCACACATCATCATATGACAAAGTATCTCTTGCTCTTAACGACAATAAGAAACCGTATCTCGTTTTCTAAATAATATTTCAAGAATTCCCATGTAATCATTGATTGAAAGCAATCTCATAATTTTTTTTTTCATTGACATACATATTTTAATTTGCTGGCTGGACTTGGGGTTGAATAGTCGTTGAATGTTTCATTATGTACACTGAGACCATTATGCAAAAGGGCCAAATTAAACAGATGAGGTTTTTGCCTTCCAGTGTAGAAGTTTTGTCTATTATGTACTTATACATCTCTCTATTCACCTTATTATAATGCAATGGCATATCAAGATATTTTCTGAAATTTTCAGCTCCACCAAACCTAATCAGATCACTGATTTGTCTCGTTGGAAATATTGTCCAAATTTTCTTATAATTGTGTTTGTAAAAAATAAAATAAAATACACTATTAATCTATAACAATTTATAAAGATAATTCATTGTTTTTGTTTACACAATTTTTTTAAAAAAATTATTCCTTATTTATTATGGTAATTACACTTTTTTTTTCTTTTAGTATAGCATAATTTTGTAATTTAACTTTATTAATTTAAATAAAAATCATTTGTTAAAGAAATTGCATACCATAACATTTTGTAACCCTATACTCATTAATAAAGTTTGGAGTATTTTTATTTTTTCACTACAAAACAGAGACACGAAATAGTTCAACTCACTATATGCATAAAACTATAAACAAATTTCGATCAATTATATCAATGTATTTGGATTGTTGCAAATACTTTATTGGAAAAGAAAAAAAAAATATAAAATAGTATTTACAATCATATTATTGCAATGATACTAAATTAATTGCATTGAAACCGTCTTGAATAATCATGGGTACCGGATAATGGGTAGTATTTTAGATGCATTTAGTGTAGACTCCATGGTAGTTGTAGTTGAGTACCTTTGCAATAAATTTCTGATTGCAAAATCATTCTATGCAGTTTGCACCAACGTGATTTGTAACTGCTGTACGTTGGTTCTATTAAAAAGACGAAACCATTAATTATGAAATATCTGTTTTTGTTTCGTTGTGTTGCGCCCTAAACATTTGTTGATTTCATCTTATCCGGTGACCTTTCAACCTTTATAAGAACCAACCAAAATGTAAACTGTGTAGCGTGGCAAAGTCAAAAATTTGGATACCTAACCAAATACTTTTCTTTTTTCTCTTCCTTTTATTGCGTCTCCTTATCCGATTCATTAATCAACCTCTAGTCGGTGTTGTTCAGACAATTTAGCAAACATCAAAATTCGTCATGTTAAAATAAAATATCAAGATTAATTTTTCAAAATACTAAGATAATTTCGTTATTTTATATACACACAGAGAATTAATTTTTTTTATCTGGATACTATACATGCTACAGCAGCTACACTATATCAGTATAGAATAAGCTAGCTTAGATATAGTGGAAGGGTTCTTAATAAACTATTTATGATAAGATATAATGAAAAACATTCGTAATATATTACTCTAAATTATTAACATAGATATTATGAGATAGGGATGGATATTATCATATTATATCATACATATCCTAAACCTCTCTACATATAAGACAATGTCAGGAATCGGTGTCTAAATCCAAAACTTGTGAGCAAGAGAGAAAGCATGAATCAAGGTGACATGTTTGCTCACATAGGATCCATAGTTGCATCCATGATGTTCATTTGGGCCATGTTCAAGCAATTTTTCCCATACCAACTTCGAAACCAAATAGAGAAGCACTCCCAAAGATTGGTGACTTTGGTGTACCCTTACATCCAAATCACATTCCATGAGTTCACTGGTGAGAGACTGATGAGAAGTGAGGCCTATTCTGCCATAGAGAACTACCTGAGCTCAAAGGCATCAACACAAGCCAAGAGACTGAAAGCTGACATAGGGAAGAACAACCAGTGTCTTGTTCTCAGCATGGATGATCATGAAGAAGTGGCTGATGATTTCAATGGTGTGAAACTTTGGTGGGCTTGTGGCAAGCACATTTCCAAGCCAAACTCCTCAATTTCCTTCCACCACCCCATGTCAGATGAGAAAAGGTACTACAAGTTAACTTTTCATAAGAGTAATAGAGATGTTATCTTAGGGACATATCTTAGTTTTGTGATGAAAGAGGGTAAGGCCATAAGGGTGAAAAACAGGCAAAGGAGGCTTTATACCAATAGTGGCTCTTATTGGAGTCATGTGGTGTTTGAGCACCCTGCAACATTTCAAACCCTGGCTTTGGATCCTGAGGAGAAGGAAATGATCATTGAGGATCTCATCACATTCAGCAAGGCAGGGGAGTTCTATGCAAGGATTGGAAGGGCTTGGAAAAGAGGGTACCTACTATATGGACCACCAGGGACTGGAAAGTCCACAATGATTGCTGCTATGGCTAATTTGCTAGGGTATGATTTGTATGATCTTGAGTTGACTGCTGTGAAGGACAACACTGAGTTGAGGAAGCTCCTTATTGAGACATCAAGCAAGTCTATAATTGTGATTGAGGATATAGATTGTTCACTTGATTTGACTGGTCAAAGGAGGAAGAAAAAGGAAGAGAAGGAGAATGAGAATGATCAAAGGCAAAAACAACAAGAAAGAGAGGCTAGAAGTAATCAGGTAACTCTTTCTGGTCTTTTGAATTTCATTGATGGGTTATGGTCTGCCTGTGGAGGGGAAAGATTGATAGTTTTCACCACAAACTATGTGGAGAAATTGGACCCTGCATTGGTTAGGAAAGGGAGAATGGATAAGCACATAGAGTTGTCATACTGTGGCTATGAGGCATTCAAGTTGTTGGCTAGCAATTATCTCAACATTGAGTCACACCATTTGTTTGCCACAATATGTGAACTGCTTAAGGAAACCAAGATCACTCCAGCTGAGGTAGCAGAGCATTTGATGCCTAAGAATGCTTCGGTGAATGTAGAGTTTCACTTGAGGAGTCTGATTCAAGCACTTGAGTTGGCTAGAGAAGAATCCAGGCTTAAAGCTGAGGAAGATGCAAGAAAGAGTAGTGAAGCATCCTCCCAGCAAGATTCTCATGGCACTGAAAATGATTCACCAGACAAAGCAGCAGAAAAGTCAGCAAACCACACATCAACTTGATGCAAAGTAGAGTCACCAAGACAGAGAGAGTGTGAAAGGAGTGAATCATTGGATAAGACAAGCACAATATATACTCATTTTGTTTTTAATAATCATAGAAAATTAGTAAGCTAACAAATATCTCAAGGTATTTTTTTTCTTCCTCGAGTATTCCATCAAAAATTAATCTTATTCATGATACTGTAATTATAATTGACCTTAATCTTAAAGATTTTTACATATGGTGAAAATTAAACATAAAATTTCTCATTAGTTAGATCGTCCTTATAATATTTAAGTGTAAAATGTCTAATCACTTGATCAATTCAATTTTAAGATATTGGTTGTGTAAAGAGAAATTTATTATTATTGTGTAAATACAAAAGTCAATTAATGGAGACTTTTTTGTAAAGAATAAAAAATATTTAATGAAGTATATTTAATACTCACTCAGGTGAAGTTTATGAAATTATAGAACTACACCTGTTGTTTGTGGCCTGGACATTGTTGTATGACCCAATCTGTGTAGTACCTAATTGATGACCTAACTAAATTCCAACAGAGACATGGTGACAAGTTTTGAAATTGATAGAATATGTTAGAAACTTACGATTTGGCAAACTTATGCTGTATTCCTTTATACGCAAGCACGCACTTTATCCAGAGTAGACTGCACTAAATACAGAATTATGATAAGTATGGTGTCAAGTTGAAGAAAAGGGTATGTAAATATGGTTGAATAGAAGAAAAAAAAAACAATAACAGACAAGTAATGTTGTAACAACATGGAACCGTCAAAGCTTTGTAAATATGCTCAGACTCAGATTATATATTATATGGATATATGTGTAGAAATATATTCTACATTATTCTTTAAAACTATATAAATGATATATTCGTGCTCATAATTTTTTTAATGTAAATAATTATATTTTTCTTTATTTTACGATACATCTGTTATGTGCTTTTATATTAAACCTAGATTTTTTTAATTAATTTTTTAGTCAAAGATAATTTTTAATTTTCTCAATTAATTTAGTAATACATAAACTTTATTAATTAACTTTAAGTATGATTTGATGCTTTCATATTCAATTATGATCTGTGTTAAAATAATGTTTGGTTAATAAAAGTCACGTCTCAAGAACATAAATTAGTTTTTAATTGTTAGTTTAAGAACATTGTGTGTGATGGAAGAAAGTTGAAGAGGATTAGAGTTCTTCAAAATATCCACCGTCCGAGACCTTGCTCTTTGAGGTTAGAACTCTTCAAGTTGGTGGAAGCACCTTGGAGAAGTCTCCAATGGTGGAGAAGCATCCAAAGAGGTTCAGTTACCTCTTGAAGAAGGTGAAGAAGCTTGAGGAACCAAGCTTCAAGGTTGAAAAACCTTTGAGAGAGAATTAGGAGAGTGTTCTCCACGGAATAGACTCTTGAGAATGAGAGAGAATTCTGAATTCTAAATCTCATAAATGTCAAAAGTGAGCTACAATGAAGGAATTACAAATATATAGGGAGAGGTAGCTTGGAGAGCAAGCTAACCTTAACCATGGTTCACTAGGAACCATGGTGAGGTTTACTTGACTGTCCAAGGTTTAGAAACTTGGAGAGCAAGCTTCTCACTTAGCTTGCTTGGTAAGCAAGCTAAAGAGAAGCTTGTGCTACAAGTTTCTAAGCTTGAAGAAGGTGAATAGTAATTCCAGCCAAGACAAAGTGATTGGGCAAGGTGGGCGGCCATGGTGTCATTTTGCTCACTTTGGTTATTTAAAAAATGTTTGATTTGGTTTAGTTAGGTTCATCCAATGATGATGAGACCTAGCTAAGTCAAATCTATGAAAAATTAGGAGCAAAATGAGTCAAATATATAAAATTTTGCCTAGGCTCAATTACTAGTCATACCCTCAAGCATTGCTAAATGTCACCTCTCTTCTCCTATTGAAAAAATAGAAAATGAGTGTATCAATAAAGGAGGTTAAATGGAGTTAAACTCTCCAAGTAACCTACCCTAAAATCAATATACAATGACTAATAAAATGACATAAAGTGTCTCACAAATACAAAGGAAAAAAATAATCTTATACAAGAGAACTATGTACAAAATATACACAAGTAGAACTAGGCCTTCTCTTCATGATAAAGTAGGCCAAGTGAAGAGTACCTTGGGCTTAAGAAGCCCACTGATCTTCAAGATGTCCAACTCTTCTTGTATGCTCCTGACCATAGCTCTAGTGATTGGACCCTTAGCCCATGGTCTATCAGTGTGGACCATGTCTATAAAAAGAATTAACTTCAAGTATAATTGAATACTTATTATAAACAATCCAGATAAGTTGATGTAGTGATGGGATGCCTTATGCTCATACGTTGTAAAAATGATCTATTTAGTAAGAAATTTTGTGTTTGATTTAAATTATGTGTAAATATTTTTTTTGAACTAGTGGCGATGACAGTAGTATAAACAAGATAAATCTATGATTTAGTAGATTGAGAGATGACCATGATGGGAAAAAAAATTAAAACAATCATTAATAAAATAAAATTCTCTTGATTAAATTAACTTTTAAAATTAATAATTAAAATATATTAATTTTTATTCTTATTGTCATTAAAACAGTTTTATTATATTTTTAAAATTTTGATGTTTCTATATTTCATGTGTATTTACAAATACTCGTGAAACAAGGATATTTCCTAATATTTTTTTATATAGAAATATAAATATCATTATAGACAAAGAAAATTAAGATTTGAGGTATATATTTAATTTTAGGCACAGTTATAAAGGAGTACATGGATACAATACAAGGACTCTTTGGCCCAAAAAAGAAGTTGGGCTGCCTGTGCTTGTTATTGGATCTAATAAGTTTTGTGCCACAGTAATCCACATGCGTATGTACAACATAAAATAAAATGCCAGTAACATATATTCTCAAACACACTCTTCTTAACATTCTTATTTTTATTAGTTAAAATGTATTAAAATATAAAAAATCAAGAGAATCATTAAATAGAATATGTGGATCTACCAAATTCTGTATTTTTTTTAATAAATTCTAATTAATTAGAAGAAAAAAATGTGTTTAAAAGAGTACTTGAGAAGATGTTACTAGCATTTCTCCAACATAAAATACTTGTATTATATTTTGTTGGAATAAATTTATCTAGAATAAGAAGAAAAAAAAATACAAGTCTCATGAACTAAAATTAACTTATAAATAAGTTAATGATAATTTTTTTGATAAGTTATTATTAAAAAAAATTCTTCAAATTAACTTATAAATAAGTTAATTTTAACTTATAAATAAATTTATGTAATTTTTTTCTTATTTTTTCCTTCAAATATTTTTGAAGAAATTTATTTAAACATATCTTAATTAATTTAATACTAAAGAAGTTCTTAGAAAAACTTGCTATGCTAAGCACCAATGTTTATTGTATATCCAAATTAAGTGAATTTAGAAAGAAGAAAAAAACATAAATAATTATATTAGTAATTATTGGTCCAAGTGCAGCGAAGTTATGCACACCAAATTTATAAAAGAAATTTGCATTTTGAGATACTCAAGAGTACGTGGCTAGTTGGAGACAGCAAGAGTATCCCTGTTGGCTATGGAGTATCGACAAATTGAACATCAAACAAATAAATTAGGAGTTGGATTCCAAGGTTATATTTGGCTTAACTTCTTTTATTACTTAAAAATATACTAAAGTTAAAATTTTAATTTTAATTTTCACAATAGCGACAACAAGTTGTTTTTAGAATTCTTTTTTCATTTTATTTCCTGTTTTCAATGTTTGTAACTTTGTATAGAAAGTAATAAAAGTAAAAATAAAAAATAAAAAAATAAAAAAATAAATTGTTTCCACTATTCCACATAAACTTTTGAAAATAAGAAATAATTAAAAGCCGGAAAAAAAATCCCAAACCAAATTATTTCTATTTTTTATGAAGTTCTTTCGTAGAGTATTTGTTTAGAATAGTAATTATTTGGTCCAAGTTATCTTTTTAATATGAAAAGAATGTTTAACATGTTAACTTCTCGCATCTAGTGTCTTAAAATTTCTGGGCATATAACTGGAGTTACGATGGAAATAATTTAACAACATTTTAATAAAAGTGTCATTAATATTTTATGTTGAAGAAAAAAAATTAGAAAACTCTTCAAAAAAGGAGGGTCTTTAAAATCAAAGTTGAATTTGAAAGTTAATTATGTGAGATCTTGACTCAAGGGGGACAGAGGAATTTAATGAACCAAATACTTGTCTTTCTTTTTCTCATATTCTTAAGGAAAGATCTCTGAGACTTGGAGTTGAGAATCCCATGGTGTAGCTGCGGAACTTGAGTCATTGGAGCTCGGAACTCATTTCTTTCTCTTTCTCTTCTTCCACCTTGGAGTAGTCCAAAGTTCTCCATTGTCTTCTTCTTTTTCCTCGGAGAGCTCGGAATCAAGGTAAGGGAAATTGGAAATCTTGAGTTTTGGGTTAATATATTGGGTTGTTGAGTGAATTAAGACTTCAAATTGCATGTTGAAAACTGAGGTTTTGGTTTTCTTAATGGAAGGTTAAAACGTTGATGGTTTTCTTTCAGTTTTGATCCATGCATGTTGCGTTTCTTGTGGTTTCTGGGTTGTATGAACGAATCTAGTAGAGATAATGAGTGTAGATTGTGTTTAGGAGGAAAATTGGTAAAATCTAAGTGAGAAATGAAAGGGGAAGCCATGAAAGTGTAGAAAATTATGCACTCAACGTTGCAACGTTGGTAGAGTGTGGCAATTGTGAGAGCAAAAGGGTGACAAAGATCCAGCGCTACAATGCTGAGTTGAGTGCTGCAACCTTGGGAAGAAACGGAGCTAGCAGAAATCCAAAATTGAGTGTTGCAACGCCGAGGGTAGATGACCAAATTTGGTCTTGAGGTCTACACGTAAGTTTTTTCCTTAGATGTTAGCTTTCTAATGACATTGGAATCACCCAAAAAGAAGGTCTAGAACTCCAGTTATGATATTTTTAGTGAGTAAAGGTCAAGCTATCAACATTTAGACAAATTGTTACAGTTTTTACAACTTTTAACATGTTAGATGATGGAATTATAACCTAAGTTCTACATGAAAGTTGTAGAAAATCTTCTTCTATTTCATATGAGATAAGGATGAGCATGATAGGAGTAGTAGAACTTACTATGCATCATTTTATGTGAAGGTTGTCAGTGTAAAATAAGTGAATTTGATA